GCAGTTGGGGCTTAGAACTGTGCTACTTCAAGTACTTCAACTTCATGCTGTAATGCATAAATGTATTAACTTTAATGATAAATATTCTTCGGAAAACAACAGCTATATCACAAAAGGCTATCATAATGTGATGGATTCGTCATTTTCATAAAAAATGTAATTTAATCATTACACGATGAACTCTATTTTCCATTTCTAAATACCAAACTTTATATTTATATTTAAAGTAAATCACGATAAAATTTCACACGCCTATATATTACTTATACCTCATAAATACTAAACTTCGAATAGAAATTCTGAGTTCGAAATTAATCTGTGGCATGGTTTAGCTTTGGTAACAAGCGCAAGCCTAATTCATACGATTTCCCGTTTTATTAATTTGATTTATCTAAGGTAAAAATGACTTCGTAAATAAACTTTCAAACGTTTGTTTTAATCAACGAATTCCTAACAAGTGGAAAAACTGCTTCCGCCTCTCTTAATTACGCTAGCCAGACAAATATTCATTAAACCGACCTTCATTTTGTAGAATAATGTGTTTAGAGGTGTCGCAAAAATATCCTGCTGCGTTTTTGATGGACAACAATTTTTCCAGTCCATATTTGCTCGGAAACATTGCATTTTAATACATTTTTCCGGAAAATAAAATGGTCTCATCCCATAAGTAAATTGCCGCAGGCCATAAATATTGAATAACAGTTAGGCACGGTGGAATCGGTCCAATAAATTCCCCATTCTCATCTTTTATACAATTGACCGTTTTCAAAAATATTGGCAGGGAAACATTTTTATATTTTACACTAACTATCCTTCACCTTCAAACATTCTAAATTCCACATCTTGTGACTATTTTAAACACTGCACTCGGCAATCAAGTTTGGCAGGAAGCACATATACGAGACAGTTTCTCAGTTTAATGACAAAGATACATGTTTAATGTTGTATCTTTTAGTACTCCTACACTTGACATATTAAGTGAGAACAATTTCATTAGAAACCACCTAGACCCAAATACCTCGTTATGCCATTCACGTGTGTTTACTACTACGAAACTTGGCAACTATACAGTCGTCGAGCAACGATAGGTTTCACCTTGCAGTTATTAATATTTTGAGATAGAATGCGTTGTCTGTAGGTATTATTATTTGTTATGTGTGATTTTGGCGATGATCTTTGTACAGCGTTGAAAATGTCTGTATTTCAATTTGTTAACTGACGTTACCCAATTAGGCACATTGCTTATTTTGATTTGTTCAATTCACTTTTTCAACGTTTTGGCATGTGTAAAACTAAAATTCATCATAAAGTTCGATAGAGTTGGGAGTTTTTAGTTTTTTGGGATTTGTGAGAATAACTGCGCAACACTTTACTGCCGTGAGTCGAAAGCAGGGATTGTACTTTGTTTGAAATTCAACAAATCATTTTACGTCTTATCGTATTAGAAAATCCTAATAAGAGACATTAAAGTGCATTTTATTACGGATTGAAACTGTCTCTTATTTCGTTATTGTTGGTCATAATGAATATTATGGTTTGTTTGTAATTCTAAAATACAAGGAACCATCAGGAAAACAATTGCGTTGGCATCGTCAACTTTCAAAGAAGAAAAATTTACCGTCGGACAAAAGGATTTTGATTTCCGTTGCCTAAATGTAGCAGTCAAAGTGCCTGCTGCTGTAAGAAAAAAATGAATCTACTCATTTCTATGTCAACACTGTCAATTGGAAGCAGAAAGGCTGTAGCTTAAAAGGTACCAATTTTGTAGTTTTGGTAAAGATTAAAGGTTAGAGCTTTCAGAATTAATCATTGTAAATTTAAACATGACTTATGTTACCAATTTGATTAAGAAATTTTGCATTTGGATGATTCTCAAAGTATTTAGCATAGAACCTATTAAAGTTTTTTGCATGAATTTTTGCCCTTCTTAAACCCATAAAGAATTGGAGTTATTTTAATAAGAATTTAGTTGATATTGTAACGTAAACTTAATTACGTGGTTTATTTATTTATTAATTCTGAATTATTGAAATGATAAGATTTATAACAATTAAGGTATTATTTATCACTTACATGTACACAATTTATAATAGCGCGAACTATTTATTACTTCGGCCTTGAAATTGGAACTGACTGAAACGTAATTCGATTTGCTTATATAGAAACGACAATTGTTCTAGAATGTGCTAGAACAAATCCGTCATTTTTCCCGGAAAGATTGCGTCACATCCGCCTTCGTTCTTTATCGCTTCCATGTCTATCGGGATTTCTGGAATATTCTCTACAATATTTCAAATGTAATGTGTATATAATCAATTGTATTTAGCTACGAAATCGATATCAAATTTTAATGAGTTTCAAACAAGATGTTAGATAATAAAACCTGTGAAAGGTACTTAATGTGAATTCTAATCGTTTCACAATTTGATTTTTTTCATTAATATATTGCAAACGTTGTGGTAATTTTTGTGTTGAATTTGCAAACAAACTTATACAAAATCAAGCATTGAAGTCAAATTTCAGGGAACATGAAAAAAGGTAAAATCTTCAATTAATAATAGTAAAGTTTCATATAGAAATAGAAGTAGCCGTCGCGTCAGTCAAATAAAAATGTTCAGGGAATTTGTGATTTTACACAGAATTTCAAAATTTTGTTTATCAATAAAAAAAGAAGTTCAACTCCTTTCCATGCACTGTTTCCAAGATGCATAAGCTGTAATTTGGAGTGAGTGCAAAAAGATGCTGTTACACCTGTTACAGTGGCAACCGAAATAAGGAGAGACGTACTTAATTCCGTAAATCTAAAAGAGACGGGTTTAAGACTTCTTATTAAAAGAAATTTGTAAAATCAAAGAGGGAAAATTAAACTTTAGCTGGATCGCAAATCGGGATTCAAATTAACGACACACAATTGATTTAACAAGAAATTACAAGAATTAATTTTTTGACACATCATGATAAGAAAATCAAATACAAAAATCTGTAAGGAAAAATTAAAGTTAACAACATATTTTTGAACACACACAACCCGTTTACAAAACGAACAAATAAAAAAACGCACAATAAAGAGAGCTGAAGAAAAATAAGTACTCACAGATAGTCAAATTAATATCCAAATTATCTGGTCCGGACAATGCAAGGGACAATGGGAATATGATTGTCGACAAACCAAACACTTTACACACAACCTGGTGATCGGGTGTTACAATTTTTAATTAACAACACTATCAAAAACTGGACACTGGCCATACATAGAGAGGTTGATCCGCTGGTTTGAACTGCGACAGATAAATATGTCAGTTTCAATTTGATGCGTCACTGACGGACAATTTTGTCCTGATTAAATAAAGCGCGCGTTTACCTCCTAACTTACAACCTAATCTGTATGTGATGGCTAGCTAATGACTTTGTCCTCTCAATTATGGAAACACATGCGTAAAAAAAACTTCAACTTCTTTAATAGGCGAAATCTTGCTCGTAATAATGTAGCGCAACAGTGGCATACGCTTTTTTAATCGACCCGCAAACAGCAATAGAGCAAGGGTGCCTTAGGCTAAAAACAGCATCGTTTATTTCCCAATATCTTTTAAAGGTCAAGCCACCTCCGCTCATGCGTTCGATGTCGGTGTTCCGGCGATTCCGAAATACTGCTTTGTTATCCGTATTGATAAACACTTGCCTTCATTATTAGCACGTGGCGTTGTTAGTAAACAGAGCCACTTAATTTGTTCAATATCGTTTTTACAAAACCTTACGTCGATACGTTAAATATTCACTTACTTATGCGTTCTAAGATTTATAATACTCACTAAGTACAACAAATACAATTAATTGACTTAAACAATTTCTAAATTTACAATAAACAAACTAACATTAAAGTGACAATTTCGCAAATTGTCCAATGTTGTATTCAAAGAAATTCTCCCAGGTCGTATCAATTTTACATACAGGATGTTACGACTGCTATTTCCAATGCGTAAACCGGAAATTACGTTACCAACATGTACATTTTTCACTACAGGGTGGCTTGCTCTCATCTTCGGCAGTATTTCAACCTAGAGAAACGACCTCTTCCCCATAGTTTACACTACAACAAGAAAACAATTAACTAACTAGTTGACGGAAGAAAAAAGAAAGCAACTAGCTCACGCAATGTATGTCTTAGCACTTTTGATTTGCAAAAGATGATTCGAACGATCCAGTCAAATACGTTGGTTTTGTATAAATCAAAGCAACTTATTCTGCAATTATTCTTCAAGTTCACTATTTTTGTTTCTGCACCGAACTAGGGATTTTGTTTTCACCAACGAGGAGCGATAGATATTTGCAGTTGTCTTTATAAGTATTCTACTTCAGTCATAGATGCCACCAAATTAGTGGTCTTTAATTAGCTGACGCATTTGGGTCTCATCAAAAATGCCTGACTAGATTTTCGGTACTTAATCTAGGAAATTTTGGATAAATAAGCTGGAAACACTGACAGTTTTTTTCCAGATCTTTAACAAACAGTCGTAATTTTATGTGCAAGGGAGGAATGATTTTTCCCGGAGAATCAAAGGTTAATTTATCATTTACCGACAACCAAATCATCCCCCACCCAATTTGATTGTATCCAGTGGATTGATCTGGCTTGACTGCAAAAAATTACCACTTTCAAGGAGACACAGACCACCCATTTATGTACGACATATCTCACTTTCTGTGAAATGATATCTTCATAAACTACGTTTCAGGCAACGATCTGCACCCTCGGGATTAAAGCACACACTTTAGGTCCTTGGTATATAATACACTAGTTCGTATGGAAGGCGATGCATTTTGAGCTTTTGTCTCTTACTCCATAAAAGCTTCATTAATCATTATGCTTTCATTCCTGAATTAACTATTGTCGCCCCCTATCAATTTGAGGCACCCTAATTAAATAATAACTAATTAGCTAGAACGTTAGTTTTTATAAATTGAATCCTTTGTAAAATAAAACTAATTTTTGCCTGTTTCAGATGTACTGCAGTAGAATGGAGGTGTTGATAGGTAAGTCCGTCAAAGTACATCTTACGTCATAAGGGCTTCATTATAAGTTATAAAGTTACAAGTTTATTTCATAAGTTGGATATTCTTTAGCAATATGTAGTTGCAACTTTTTTAATGATTCCTTAATTGGATCTTAGATATGAATTTTGGTTACCTGGAAGCGTTGTTCCTAATTTCGTTGGGGGATTTATTGACGTGAATGGATGACAATTAAGTCAAAGTTTTGTTGAACATAAAGTACGAAAATATTTTAGCTGAAACGTCTTCATTTAATAACTACGATGGTTGTACAAATTTTCAAAAATGGATTCGCGCATTAGTTTTCAAAATAATAACGAACTCATCTTGTCGTTGGAAACCCCGGGTTTTCCTGGGAGGTTAACGGGCTAACGTTGTAATTTGTAAACAACGGGAGGGTTGATATATAAAAACTTAAATCTGGAATGCAAAAACCATAATTAGTCTGTAATTAGGGTTTCAGTTTGGCGCGAATAGGGAGTGAAGTATAGACATTCATTTTAATTAACAATGATTAACGAATGGCGTGTCCATAAATCACTGATTGCAAGAATATTACTTTTCGCTGAATTTTAAAATAGACGCTAGCAATGTATCGCCAGCTGTAATAGTTCTATCGATGTCTGTTACATTTTTGCATCCATTTCATTTTCAAAGAGGAGATGTAGAAATTTGAACAAGACTTACACTATGGTATTACGTAAAAATGGATTACGAGTATATGTATGGGCATAATACACATGGCAAAAATTGAGTAGTTTGTGTGTATTTCAATTATGTAGGCTGGTAGGCATTTAGGTTCGGAAATTTACTTACCCTTTAACTTTTTACGTTAAAATTCCCTAAAGATTAAAAAAACAATTTATTCTATGCCTAAAGTAATGGAATACAATCCTACGTGATTTATTACACAAGTTTTTTACGGACTAACCTAAACTGAAAAAGAATTAAGATATAAAACTGTTTAAAAGTTAAACCAGAGTCATTGTTGCTGCAGTAAGTAAGCTTTCTTATTCTTAGACTTTGTTGTATACATCCAACGCAAAATGATACAAAAGATCTATTTTTATATTTCATTCCTCTAAAATCGTATTTTGAATAGTAGGAAACAATCTTATTGAGGTACTTTAAAATACGGAATTCTTTTCAATTAGAAATCGACATCATTTCATGAAAAGAAATCCATTAGTGTCAATCTTGCCACAACGAAAAGGGTATTGTACAAAATTACATTTTCTCACTCAAACCTTTACATTTCAGTATCGTCGTGATTGTTATACATTTTCATCGGTATTGTGTAAAAAGCAATTTACAATTTTTTCCATGAAACCGCTGGCTTAACTTAAGTTTCTATTGTTTGTCATTGTGATTCTTCCAGAAACGAAATAAATTCACTGTTGTTGTATTAATTGCTTTTCAATGTTACAAACGTCAGCGCCTACCGTTTCTGCCTTTTCATTACAATCATTCTTTCAGTTTGCTTAGTCCTTTGATATCATTCACTTTAGCAATTCAAATATACTCGAATTGATTTAGTTTATTTATAGTCGAAATAGATTCAGTGATATTCGACAAAGGTTCAAAAGCCTACATCATTGACCCTACCGTCAGATTGGAAACAAGTGATGAAGACGCAAAAATTCAAAATGAGAAAAGTGATATCTATATGAAAAATGCATTCCGTAATATAAAGAACAATCGGTTTATATTTTGGTTCTCGTGGACTGTAGGCGCAAACACGATCAAATTTTTCAATAACTTCAAATTAGATAAAGGCAAACTGGTAGAAATTGCAGAACAAGTTTTAATCGATCCTATTAGAATTCTCAACCATCACACAACATATATGTCGTTATTAATCGGTATGCTGTGTATTTATGCAACCTAATAAGTCTCGCAGGCAGCCCACTTTAGAAAAACCGATTTTCATTAGGTATAACGCAATAAAATAAGGAAGGTAAATCTAAAATGTATAATGCTAGAACGGAAAGTGCCTTTAGTACTTAATAGTATGATGGCAGAAATTTGTGCAGTGTGCAAATTGCACACTTGAAAAACAGCGCGCTGTTCTTCGACCAAGGATTCTATGACAAGGGCGTTTATCGAAATTGCACAGAATAAAATTACTATGCGAAAGACGGTTATTATGTACAGCCTCCTATACAAAACTTTATAAGATCGCTTTAAACGTCACTGAAAAGAAAATGAAATTAGGTAGAAGAACAATGTTCAGTGAAGTACAAGAGCTTGAAATTTCCTAGACAATTTTGGAATTATCTAAAGCGTTTTATGGTTTAACGCGAACTCTTTTGTCGAACAGAACGGTGTAGCTAATATTGTTTTAACGTAGAAGCAAAGAAATGTGGAAAAGATTGGCTGTACTCGTTCATGAAACTGACTTTTGACTTTTAAAAAACCAGAAATTACTTGCCTGAACGGAAAGAAATATATCCGTTTACACTTTGAAAGTTATTTTTAATATTGATGGCAAATGTTTTGATTTCACTACAAATCGTAACTAATACACACGTGCCGAAGTTTATGCGAAGTGCGCACTCAATTATTATAGGTATTTTCCTCCATCAAATGTAATTATTTTTTGCTGTGTTAAATTAAATATTAATATTGAGTGCACAGAGTGTAATACGTATCGAATCGTTGGGTAAAGATAATTTTGATACATGGAAAATTCAAATGGAAGCTTTACTGATCAATAATGATTCGTGGCAGTACGTAAATGGTGCTTGTAAATGCCCCGCTAGGTGATGACAATTTAGCCGCTATTGAAACTTGGAAGAAAAATGAGTCAAAAGCAAAATCAGATATTCAGTCCTGTGATGTATTACTAACGTTAAACTTAACGCGCAGGTTATCTGTCAAAAACGTCATTTTCTCTGGAAAATAACGTTTTTTGGCAGATATCCTGCATGTTAAGTTTGACGTTTCTGATACATCACAGGGCTGAATATATTATCGATTTCTCCGTGAGCTGAAACAAATCAAGGGATGTGACACGACCTATGAATGAAACTGCACAATATTTATCAATCTAATGCCCCGCGCGAAAGACAACATTGTTAAAGCAGTTGATGTTGCGACGGTTCATGGAAGCAGAAGATCTGCACAGTCCCCTTCGCGATTTCTTCGATGTTGTCGACAAATTGGGTAACTTGGAAGTATATATATATTAAAGGCGATTTGTCAGAAATTATATTATTATATTAGTTTTCTGATAGAGTTCATCAGAGTTCGTCGAATTCAAATATGCCAAGCCCGTCGTCCGCAAGTCACGAAAGCCGGGAGAATTACTCACAGAACAATTCGAGCCAGATACGCTGTTATCGTTGCAAACAATTGGGCCATACTGTGAAAAACTGTCATAAAAAACCACAAACTGATAAAATCGCTTTCAACACGTGTTCTCGCGATGGAAGTAAACAATGGTTCTTAGACAGTGATGTTACTTGCCACATGCGCAATATTCGAATTGCTTGAGAACAGAGTACCTAGCAAGCTTACGTTAGCGAATAATTCGAGCACCGAATTTGTCGGGAAAGGCATCGTTAATTGGATTCTATAGCGAGTGCGGAAAAATCGATTACGTTGCGCGAAGTTCTTAGCGTACCGGATTTACGCACGAATTTACTGTCAGTCGGTAAAATTATGGACAAAGAATTCGAGGTTTTATTTAAAAAGGAACGTGTAATCGAACCCTGTATTAGTCGATAAGTCAAACGCTTTCATCCGAAAATGAGGCGTCTCCACCAGTTAGACTACCTTGGAGACCTCGAATACTGCAAACTGGTGCAAAGGGAAGATCTCGAAAAATGTACAATGTTGCAAACCACTGATCTGTAGATTATGTCCCGAGCCCGATAAAAAATTTACCCTGAGATCTCATATGGGTCGTAATTGGGGCTCGATAACACAGAGCTAATCATTTACAGACAAAATAAAGCTGAAATAAAAATAGGCACTCAGGGACAAATGAATAATACCACACAAATGCGTCCAATGAAGATAAGTTAAATATAAATGCAAATTTTAATTACCTTAAAGTTTAATCATCCTTCATCCGGTGCGATTCACTTTAAATGACGCACATAGAGAACAAAAACACCAATTGAAGGTGCTTCTGAGCTTCACTTCATTACTTTTGCTTGATCTTGATCTAAACGACACTGGCTTTGTTGTAAATTTAGACGTAATGGTGGTTTTTTTTAGTGGTAGAAGACTTCACTTTAACGGGTACTTGAAGACCTTATAGAAAGGCCTTACATAAGCGATAAACGCAAGATAGACACAACTCAGACTAATTTTCCGTAAACGTAAACAACTTGAACTCAATTCGAATTATTCACCTCATAACGACATATTCACAAAATCTGAGAGCGCTCACTAATCTTGTTATACAGTAGCGGCCAAAAGTTTTATCACAATTTAATTTTTTCATTGTAACACACTAGCATTTACTACGGGTAGCAATAAAATAAGTTATTTAGAGTGCCATAAAAAACAATTCGAGTCAGTCAGCCACTATTTGTTGTAGAGATGTTTCATTTGTTTTTAAATTATTTATTAACATCTGATAATTCTATGGTAACACCATGAAAAGTTATTGCCGACAAACTATATTGCGATAAACTTTTGGCCGCTACTGCATAACAAACTTTACTGTCCACAAGAATGAGTGTCTTTTAAAAACATTCGATTTCGGCAGACAGACTGCCATACACTAACAAGGCGCTCATTAAACAAAAAGTTGCACCAAAGAACTACGTTTCATGTCCGTCTCTTCTTTTTAAAACATCCTCCCTTTCCCCCTTCAGCTTCCTATTTCATATCAAAATTACTGCGCACTAGACTGCGCGTCTTTTAATAACGAAACATCTGAATTTTTTTCTGCGCACACCTGCTTACTTAAACTAATTAGCTTTACGCCGCGGTAACGAAGCCTTATCGAACGGACCGGTGATAAACTT